GAAATTTAATAGAAATGTAAGACCTTCTTATATCGTGTAGAAAAATTGAACTACGAGTCCTTCATCACTTTAAACAAAATAGGGTAAAAAGATCTTATAAATACGGAATACTGACGTCTCGAAAACCTAATTATGATTGAAAAGCACAATGGTTTGTTGGGTGATCAACATATTCTTATTTATCTTGATAAGATAAATAACGCCGAAAAACAGTCATTAATTTTAATAAGGAAACTTTCTTTCAAAGAATATTATGCCTAAATCGAAATTAAGGGAAGCTTATTTGTCGATTACTTAGTTCAACTCAGGACAAGATAAAGTGTAAGATAAATATTTGGCACCCAACGCCTGAAATATAATAGCAACTCCAAAAAATTTTATTCTGACCAATATTGTTAAGCATTCCTCTGATAACCTATTCTTTTCTATCAAACGGTCATGAAAAATATTTTGGTATATAAATTTTAAATACACTTTATGGCATATAATGGCTCTATCTATACCCTGCATTGATTATAGCTTAGAAATAAATTCTAAGCTATCGTTAAAAGCGTAAATTTATTTGTTTTATGTTATCTGTAATTATTTGAGATATTAGCTATGAATAGCTATCATTAATCTTCCTCCAATAAGAGAGTGAGACATTGCCGTAGCGCTTAGGCTATTGGTTGCCAAATAACCAATAGTATTACAATCTGCTTTTCACTTTGACATAACATTTGTCTGAATAAAGCTCAGAATAAGCCCAGTTAAACTTATATTTTTTTACATTTGTACATCTGTCCAAGATATTTTGACCAGTTATTTTTCTAACTTGAAATGGATACCCGCCGGTATAGCGATTTACACGATTGTTAATTCTTTATCATATATTTCACCATTTGCTGACCAGAACAAAGTTGGAAACTTTTTATCGATTCCATACAAGTGTAATACCGGCAAGTATGAGCAACAACTCATAGCTTCGAAGTAACCATGGTTGAAATCCCGGTATAAAAGAAACAACGGATCTGGAAAGAGCCTGAGTCAAACTATGCTGCAACAGATCCGTCAGCGTTCCGTAGAGACGGAGCTGAGTGAGAGAGGCAAGAATATTTCAGAAAGACTAGAGGGGCGTCATAAGATAGCTGAGACCCGAAGCGCTGGCTGTAGCGGCAATATAAGTAGTGAAGAGGATGCGATATCCTGCCTTATTGCGACTGCATCAACTGCCACAGCTCCTATATCGCTTGAGATACCATGTGGAAAAGCAGATGGAGATCGCTCAAATTTGTCCGGAACGATAATTACGTCGAATAATTGTTTTGGCAAAGCATTCAAATTAAGTGGTCAATCACAACTCGCATCAGCTCCTCCAGAAATTCAGATACGTGATAGCGATACTAATGAAGGGATTTCGTCGAATTTGAGCTGCAGAGCGCTGAACACTGATCAAGAGTCAACGGAATATGTATGTGAAAACGAAGGCTATACTAACTCCGGAAATGAGGAGGCTGATATTTTGGCAAAGCTAATAAGACCCGACCTACATTTAGGCATGCAGAAGCGCAGATCACAATCCAACCAGTATACCGACCAAACAAGTCTCCAAGCACGAAGTCGTCCGTCTTTGATAAGACGGAAGGGCCGAATTAATTCTGCTCAGGAAGAATCAGGCTCCAGCGATCTTTTGGATAAGGCTGCACACTTCAGATCTACATGTGGTCTAACTAGCATAGAACCGTTAGTTGCTTCTTTCGGAATACCGCCAATCACTACGTCCACTAAAATGAACGAAATTGATGGCATTTTCCCTTCAACCACTGTCGATACTTCAAGCGAAAACCAGCTGCGCGTTATACCCACATCCTACAATTGTAGCCGAGCTAGCCAGTCGAATCGTGAGCTTGCCTCGTCTGCTGACTCAAATGATACGTATTCTCCAAATGAGACCGTCTCTGTTTGCACTGGTCCTCACTCGTCATCCCCATTAGCTAACGCCAACAATACTAAAGCTAAATGCAATGTACTTGTAATAACTCGGCAACTATTAAGTCCGCGTTCCTTCACTATGCTTACAGAAGCTGGTACCAAGGATGTAGGCGCTAAGGAAAAGCTGCTACCTACTCCAACATCGGCATCAACTGCAACTGCCTCCTCTTCGTGTGGAATAGAATCTACAGGATCGAGCAAAAGTACAGGAAAGCAGAGCTTGACAGGGGCCGGTACTGCCGCTATACCTGCGGCAAACAGTAGCAGTGGGATGGCAAAGCGACGCCCTCTAGAACATCAAGCCTCTTCGCCACAGCGTCAGTTTGTATCGGCGCATTCCACGTCTACATTTCTTTCCAACTTGACTGCTAGTCGACCGGCTGCTGCTACTGGCTTCCTGGGTTTGGCTAGTGCAGCTCTGGCTGCAGCCCGAGCCGGAAGTCCAATCGGTGTTTCGGTGAGCCAACGATCTGTGGCCCCAGTTGCAACATCCCCAATTGCCACAGGAGGCTATTTAAGCGATCGAGGGGCTGGCCCCTCAGGAGTAAGACTTTCTGGCCGACTGATGACCACTGGCCTTCCTGAAACATATTGTCCCAGATGTTGTTGCAGTTCAGCCACAGCTTCGGATTACCATCACTCCTTTTTGCGTTGTCCGGAGCTGTCGCCCAGTCCTGGAGGTCAAGGCCAGTTCTTGCTTGTGCCTGATGCTGGAATATATAATAAAAACGTACTCATGTCACCGACTGGTCAGATTACACAACGCCGATTCTCCGATTCAACGACTATGGGACTCCCATTGTCACTTAGCCAGGGGGCCTCAGCAACCAATGCTAAAGGCAATGAAAGCAGGAGAAGAGCAGTCGACCGGCAAGATGGGAGACCAGATTGTATGGTTTCGCATGCATCGTCTAGGCTGCATGAAGCCGGTGTTGGACTGCACGCCCCTGAAATGTGGTGTCCCAATTGCCTTCCATCGGGAGCTAATGGGTTGAACTATGCCTGGTATTTGGCCGCCAACGCTAATGCAGAGACAATTGCCACTCCGATAGTCGTCGGGTCAAATAAGCCAGTAGCTTTGAGAGCAGACGATCCTCGAGGGCAAAGCTCTGATTATAGGATTAGCCCTTTGCTAGGCCAAAAAGTTTGTGAATCCCACTTGAATCCTGATATTTACTCCAACTCGGGAGACGAAAGAGCCCTACTTCTATGCCCCCTACGAGTTGGACCACATACACATTTGTGTTTAAGTCAACCTGGAACTGCAGCCTTGATGACTAACAGCAAATCATGTAATCTGTTCTGTCATGTAAACTTAGACGGTGAATACGCCGCTGACGGGAATGACCTGAATGAACCAGCAGCGATGAGTGGCCAAGCACGGAGTGAGTTGACTCCAAATGCCCTGCTGTATTCAACCAACTCTGTCGCCCCTATCGCCAATACTTGTAGTCTCCCTACTGCACTTTCCTGTCCATATTCGGAGCAAATGATTTCAGGACCCCAATATAAATCTGACGCAATGGCGTCGGACACATGTGCCTGTCCAAGGGCGTATTTATACTACCCACCGTCATCAGTACTTCCAGCATCAGCATTTTTGGGACGCGAAAGGAAAGCTGTAGGTGTGGGCTCAATTGGTTTGGACATTATGCGAGCAAACGGGGCTGTAGCAGGTTAATAATTTTAATTTTTTGTCCGCGCGCTTTTTTATAAAGGCTGTCGCCCAAAGCAATTAGTATTACCTTAATGTTAAAGGATAGGCAGACTAAAATGATATTCCCTTTAGAGATATATTAAAGTAGTCACTTGTATTTAGGCCTTTATATTTGGTATAAATCAAGGCATGTTTATAAATGCAAATAGCGACATAATTACATACAATTTTCAGCAGTTTTTATTAATAGCTAACCAGTTCAAGGGTAGAAAAAATTGAACTTTTAATTCTATTCATCCAAAATTTAATTTATAA